CGCCGCCGCGCGAACTTCTCTTCCCGGAATTGGCTCTAATCTCAAACGTGCCGGACTCCGTCGACAGGTGTGCTGTGTGGAAAATCCGACGACATCCTCAGATCTTTTTTTTCTCGCGCGTCGGAGAAAGGCATCGTCGGCGCGTCATAATGACGTCTTTATCCGAAAAGTGCAGAGTTGTCTCTCGTGAAAAATGAGATATACTTGAAAGATATGTTGGAAAAGAAGTTTTCTACAGAAATATACTTCTGATTAGTTCGTCTTCTTAAACTTGTGCTTGTTAAATTGGACGAGCGCTGAAGTTTCGACGGATCTCGCGACAGAAAAGTGAACTGAATAATTTTAGAGGAAAAAAAAACGACGTACTGTAACACATGTGCTGCGACAAGGTAAAAATATGACCTTTTCAACGGTATGTAACGCATCTACATATTTATACAAGCAGCGCCGTCGTTAAATAAAGTGCTGAATCAGTCACGACATCTTTGAGAAATCCATCAAAACTTTTGCACTCGACCAATACGTACTTCAACAACTAATTGTTCTCGTTGCGCGCGAGAGTTTAACAGGTGTCGTCGGATTAAAAAAAAAATGTACAAAAAAAATAGGTATACGCATTATAAATAGCACGTTGAGATTGTTTTACAACTAGTTTGCCGCATACATTACAAAGTTCACGCTCGCAAACAATCTGATTTGTTTTTGTCTTGTAATTTATGTCGCAAAAAGACGCGAGAAAAAGATCGTGTTTATTGAAATGAAAATGCTAATTTGCACCGAGAGTCTCGATACTTTATTACTTTATATCGTCGAGATACAAAAAGAAAAAAAACAATATCTTCGCTTAATGACGCATCTTCATAACACGGACGCGACACGTGCGTGTTCGAGTGAGACCGGTGAGATCTTTTTTTTTTTTTTTTACACTTCGTCAAAATCGCTAACGTAACAGTCTTCTGTTGTCAGTCTCTCGCAAAGTTCCGATAAACAGAGATAAGAAGCGCGAAGATAAAGAGCGTGTCTCTTGCAACCCTGACTCGTTACGTGTGTGCGCGCTTCGACCTGAGGGATATCTGAGGATCGCCGTCGAAAAGCCGGGTGGTCGGTTCATCCGACCGCGTATCTTTTTTCGCGCGCGGATCACCCTCTCCCGACTTTTTTTTTTTTGTTTTTTTATTTCTCACTCGCGCTTTGATACAAGCGACGCGATATGCTTGCATGTATCATCGTTACACGCGATCCGCCGCATTCTCTTTCCTTCGCGCGCCGCGCGAGGAAATCCTTAATGCGACCCTCAAAGGGAGGCAGTAAATTACAAAGTAACGAGGCTCGACAAAGGAAGACTCTTAAACGCCATTACCGAGCGTATACCTCGTTTAACGCGTGCGGCGAGAAAAACGGCGCGCGTATATAAGAAAGTTCAAGCTAAATTATTCGTGTTCTATTTGTAAAAGGAAATCTTGGGAACGATATTTATAGCGATCGCGCGCGCGGCCGTTCATATTTTATAACCCCCTCACCCGACGACTAAATCGAGTCGTGTTCTTATTTTAAGATCGTCGTTTTCATTGCTGAGCTACCGATATGGTCCTACCTCTCCCCCTCCTCCTCTCACGATGTTACACGGTACACGTTACATAATCATCGCGCGCTTCGATTCTTTTCCGCGGCGTTGCGATGCAACGCAATAAAACACGTCGCGTCAATCATCAGATAATAACGGATAATTACCTGGCAATTAAATCTTTTGCATCGCCTTCGTGTATCGTAAAGTTAAACGCGCGTTGCAATTCGTCGGCTACATTGTCTGCGGGTATAATGTACCACAACTGATTTTAATTACAAATTTTAATCGTGTTTCTTGCCACGCGCAACATCTTGCCAGGGACTTGCGCGCCGCAGTCCCTGCTTTATCGAAGAAACGTGACGCGTTGTTTCGGACTTTTTGCACGGACGCCACTACAGAAATAAATGTGACGACGGTTGCGAGTAATTATCGCAACGATTGCGAACGATCAGCGTGCGTTAACAACAAATATGCTAATATTACACACATCCGCACTTATTTCTTGGATTCCATCTGACAATGCCCGTAAGTCATCGCGCGCGCGCGTCAAGAGTTGCAAATCATTTTTGATTCATTAATTACAGGTTTTTTTTTTTATATTTTTCATTGCCGTCTATTGTGCGACGAGTCCATACATTATCATTCTAACCTATTTTTCTATTTTCTTCTAGTTTATTTGCGTTCGAGAAGCATAGGCGGAACTAGTTTGACGCGAAAATTTTTTACAATTATATACTTTGATATTTTATAACTACAATTATAATTTATATAATTATATAATAGAACGTGAGCAGTTCATAAACACGTGACATCAAAACATCTTGAAATGTTTGCAAAACAAACATCTAATATAAATCTTGTAATTTTCAAAACTCCCTCAGTTCAAATTATTGTGTGCAATAATTTACACGTATATTCTACACACTTTCAAAAATATATATTTCGCGGACCCGTACATTCAACACATGACTCTCATTGACCGAATAATCGTGCTAGTTTTTATACCATAGAAACTTAAAAATTATAAATTTGTTTACACATATTATATTGCGTGAAGTTTTACTTCTATCAGTAAAAAAGTATTTCGTTAAAGCATCACGCGAGTTCTATTTCTGTAACTTTTCCTACACGATTTCCTACACAAACCCAAATTGCGATACATCCGAGTGTGTGAGCGCGCGCGCGTATGTGTGTGTGAACGCGCGACGAGAAACAGAAACTACCATTTTTCTTAGGTGTCGAAATAAAACTAACCAGAAATCGATCTTGCGGCACGACTGGCACGCGCAGTCACCGCGTGATTATCCGTCGTAAGTGTCTTCTCTCGCCACGTCTTTGAGTCTAATCTACACGGACACTTCGCAGAAAAGTCCATCGCGGCGGACAACCCGTTTATCCGTCGCCTACGACGGATCGTTCCGGGGGCGACTCGTTTCGCGCCTCGGGTCCGCCTTACGCGGGCCTAACAATGAAATCTCAAGAAAAACGATCCTCGCGTGGTGGTGCCACGAGAGGATTGGGGGAGGGAAGGCAAAGGAAAGGAAAGGAAGAAACGGGGGGGGGGCCCCGATGGGTTTCTTCGCGCGGCGCTTAACGACGATTTCGATCGTTTACGACTTTAATAATTTAGGCGCGGCTCTGCTCGCGAGGCTCGACACGTTTTCGGTCGTAAACCGCGCGACTAAATCCGTATTTATGGGGAAGAGGAGGGCGGCCACACGGCCTCTGTCTCTTTCCTTCCCGTTCTCCCGCTTCGCCTCTCGTTCCTCCTTTGCTCGATCGCGGGCGCGGAACGAAGGGGAAGAACCACCGAGCACAGACCGAAAACGGTCCGAGGAGACTCCGCGGCTGACCCTCTCTCGTGCCTTTAACGACCGATCGATCCGAGTTTGTCGCACGAAAAACCACCTCTGCCTTGTATTTTTGTTCGCGCGCGCATACACTCGCGAGAACGCGGTCATTTGCATTCATTAATCAGCATGCAATTCATTAATCAAATTCGCGAGAGCGCGCGAGGTTGCGCAACGCGTCAATCGCCAGCGTCGATGCTCGACGCGAGAACCGTCACGATCGGAGCCGTTAATTAATTCGTCGTTCAAAGTTGTATTCGATCTGCATTTAAATCGAATTGCTCGCGTTCGATCGATTAAGAAGCGACGGTGATCATACATCGAACGCACACGCAAATTGATTATCAAATTATCCGCGATTTGCTAATTATTTTCTGAATCCGGCACTTTCTCCGCGAGGCAAACGCGGAGGGACGAAAGCGGAGGTTCGCGGAGGTTCTAAGTTTAGAACCGCGAATGTGCAGATGTGGGGCGAGCGCGCTTGTTAAATAGCGAGAAGAAGAAAAAGGAGGTTCCAAAAAGGAAGATTTCGCGCTCTCGGCCACGATCGCGCGACCGGTATTTTATGATCTCACCGATGTTTACGAGGCGTGGTGTTATAAATTCGTCAATTTAAATTCATCGAGCGGCATACGAAACGCACACACTGTGTTCGGGCGGCTTACAATAATCACATAGTTAAATGGCGGTCGTGCAGTCGTCTGCAAATTAACGGCCTTAAAGACGACCATCTACTTGTCTCGCAAAAATTGATAAAAATCGGTTTATACGAGTTTGTTTACAACTAGATGACAGGATATTCGACCCGACAGATTAAAATATCTTTTATCGAGAGATAGAAAGAGATCAAAGTCCGTTCTGCTTTAATAATGCAAGCGGCCAAAGATAGACACACAAACTTGTGCGCTTTGCGCAAAGGATTGGCGAAGGATGCGAAGTCGATAAAACGCGTCGTAGCGCGGAATCTAATGGCGCGCGGACGCGAATACGTTCGCGCGGGTGGAGAGTTGTTAAACATTTTCGGTGACGCGCGCGCATCCGGTATCTGGAGTTACGGCACTCGCGCGCTGCGTGGTATAATTAGCAGCCGGTCCCGCGCAAAGTCCCCTCTCCGAGAGATAGAGAGAGAGAGAGACCGCGGATGGCGAGAGACTCCCCGCGCGCGTGACACATTTCACGCGCGACTCTTCGCGTGCCATCAAATTTTGACTGGCTAATAAACAATGTTTGTGCGAAATTGTTGACAAAGTTTCGCGCTTCGCAAGAAAAACAAAATGTCAAACGCTGACTCATTGTCACGCGCCAGCTCGCCAAAGAAGATTTTTGACAACGCGCACTCGGCGATCGAAATTTTCGAGTTGGATCTCAAATCCAACTCGATACGCGCGATTTTATTTTCGAATCTGAAAAACGGTAGAAAGAAATTCTCGCAAGCAAAATCGTCGATGTCGTAAACGGTCACATGTTGACGAGCTGTCGCGCAAACATCACGCGCGACAATGAGTCGGGACGTAATCTCGATATAAAACCGAGCGATGGTTGTTTCTCACTTAAACTACGTTTGAATAGCTCGTGAGACTTACTGAAGTCGTAGACAGTAGAACTCATCTACGCTCCTTCGGACCCTTTACGTTCTGCAACAAAAAGACATTGAACAGAGTTAGTAACAGATACGAAAAGAAAGAACGCGCGCGCGCGCGTGTGTGTGTGTCCGAAAACGTCTAATTACAAGACAATAATTAATCAAGCTGACAATGGTGCTTCGTGTTGCGTAAAGAAGCGGTACCAGCGGTCACAACAATGCGCATCGCGCAGACAATACGCGCGAAGCGAGCCCCGTTTCTAATCGTCTGCGTATATACGCGCGCGGAGAGAAAAAAAATGCGGCAAGAGCCCCCTTACAGTGGTTCCTCAAACACCCGAACACACAACAATGGGCGGCGGAGAAACAATAGACCGTCTTAATCAGCATAATTTCCGAGTCTCGAAAGCGTTAAGAAGAGAAGATTCGTCCCTGCGAGAGGAAAGAGCGAGAGAAAGGGAGGAAGCGTGACGTGTGCTGCCGGCGCAATTAAAGCGACATTAATTAATTGTTAGCATAACAATGCGCAGCCGGCAGGGACGTACAGCGCGTTGAGAAGACGGGCGAGAGAGAGAGAGCGCGCGCGGGGCCCCCCGGGCCTTCATAAATTTACATGTCCTTCGCGGCGAGAATCATTTTTTACAGCCGTTAAGAGAACGCGCCAAGAAAGAGAAAGGAACGAGAGGAGAAGAGAGGGAGGAGGGAGGAAAAAGTTTGCGGACCTACAGCAACGACCGTATTACGGGTCCCCATGGTGTTGTCCATAATAACCATCGATGTCTCTCCGTGGGCGCGAGTGGTGCCCCCTTGAGGTCCGACCTCGTTACCCACCCCGCGTTTCAATCGGGGTATTTTTTTTTTATTTATTTTTTTTATTTTTTTATTTTTTTCTTACGTTCGCCACCCGAACTATAACTTTTGCGCCGTTTTCTCTTTTTCTTCCTTCGGATCCGCGAATTGTGTCCTCCCTCCTAGTGATATTTTCGCTATTTATTACTTTTATTAAAAACTTTTTTTTCTTACAAAAACCTCACACCGGAGAAGATTATATTCTCGTCTCTCCGAGGAGATTTCTTTTTCCGATAATTTACAACGCTGGCATCTCTTACGAGATCTCGAAATATAGCAGCCAGGCCTTTTCACATGAATTTAAAAAGCAATAAATACATGACTGAGATCCTATTAACCTAGAAAGAGAATAATTAATGCTTCGGCTTCTGACGATAGGATAAACGCGCGTGGCATAGGGCCAGAAGGCGTAGAACAAAAAAAAAAAAAAAAAAAAAAACATGACTGAGATCCTATTAACCTAGAAAGAGAATAATTAATGCTTCGGCTTCTGACGATAGGATAAACGCGCGTGGCATAGGGCCAGAAGGCGTAGAACAAAAAAAAAAAAAAAAAAAAAAAACATGACAGTTTGTGACGAAAAAACATCCTTAACGCAATATTCGCGAGAGATTAGACGGAAGGATTTTCGTCCGGCGCGTAATTTTAGACGACGAAGAAATTCGGTTTCTATTTTTTGATGTAACAAATGCGATTTGACCGGCTAACAGTTGCTGTTGTTTCGGCAAAATAAACCGCGAGCGTTTATTTCTGTTTATTCGATATGTTCCCGCAAAAAATCTCGGAGAGGAAAAAAAGCTGTTTGTAACGACATTCTCGAATATCGAACGAATGCGTTAAAAGAAATACGCGCGATCGTAATGTGAGACGGACGTGGGTGGTTTAGCGTGTGCGCCTTTACATATAGTTATTTTTAATGTCCTCTAACGTCCGAAAAGAGGAATGCGCGCGCGCTACGGATATTTTTGCATGTATGTTATACATCCGTGCGCCCGAATTTTTCTATTTGCAAAGCTCGAACGGGGGTTTTTTTGTTTGTTTCGCGGCTTTTTGTGACAGAAATCGACAGCTTTTCGAATTAAAATATCAAGCAAATGAGTGACACACATCCACTCCGTATACCCGATCCTTCAAATAAATAGCTTTTATGCCCGTTTATTATGTCGGTGTTCTGGCAAGACTCCACTTGACAACTCGAAAAACACGATTTTGGGACACAAACGTAATTATAGCTTTACAGCCATTGTAAAAGTCAGCTACTTAATAAAACCCTCACTGATTTCCGAGCGAATTGTCATGTTGTCTATTTTTGCGAGTGACGTAATGAACAAATCATTGACGAGGATGTGTTTATTTGCGAATTTGTGAAATTTCACACATACACACGTAAAGATAAATTTCTTAAAATACGAAATGTGGATCAATGGATCAAACTTTAGTTATAGATTTCGACTCCGTGTGTAAGCATAAACAATTTTCCTAATTAATATCGAGATATACGTCAAAACAAAACGCGACTGCGGTTTTAAAACCTCAATAACTCATTCTTGCCTAAACATCGATAATGTTATTCCTTCGCGGTCGCTATATACACGCCCGGCAAAATTAATTTCCTAATTACCAAGTAATATATGCATCCAAACATCATTAATCGTGTTTTCTTCCGAGCGATTAATTTACATGCCGCATAATAAAATCGTTATTATTAACGATCCGGAATAACCTCGCGCGCGCGATTAGTCGCCGCGCGCGAACGACGCCTCATTACGCCTGTCGCTGTTATAAAATAACACCGGCGTGGATACTCGCGCGACCGGGAGGATAAAAAAAAAAAAAAAAAACCGTGTCACCGCGCGACACCTTTATCGTTCCGTTTACGACATGGCCTTTCCCGCACCACCAACCCGCTCATCCTCCCCTCCGCGAACCTATCGAATGTTTGCTCCCAAAAACTCTCTTCGTTTTCAGACACTCCAGCGCTCCGTCCCCCCTTTCTCTTTCTTTTCGCAAATCTCTTTCTCTTTGGTATTTTATACGCGTGTGTCTTGGCATTATCGTATCGCGCGCGCGTGTGCGTGAAAACACACAGTGACGAGCGCGTGGGCGAAACGAGCAACCGAACCGCACCAAGTGGACGCGTCTCTCGCCTCGGCTCGAATTAATAAACAGCAACGTATAAAACGCCTACGTCCGCCCCTTTCTCTCTCGCAACCCGATTTTCAACGTGCTGGTAGTCGATAGTCCGGTAAAGGACAACTTCCTGCCTCGACGGGGGGGGATTTTTACCCCCTCTCGCGGACGCACCGCGCTGATCGGGTGGAGGGACCGCCCGTGGCGATCCCCAGTCGGAGGCTTCCGAATTCCCTCGCGAATCAACAGGACAATGATCGTTCAACCGGTGATGATCCTTCGATTTTGACCAAATCGCCGTAAACTCACGGCGGGAGTCGCAGCGGGAAAACGCGCGACGTTTCGTCTCAGGCGCGTGAAAAGAAAAAAGAAAAAAAAAACGAGTCACGATGAGAATTTTTATCGTGTCGATTTCGGGAAAGCGGAACGAAAAAATCGCGCTACGGATTAACTACAAGAGATTTTCATTAAGAGAGAGAGAAAAAAGTGCGAATAACTGACGTTTCAACTTTCTGTTTGCGGAGCAAATCCTTTGTCGATCGCGCGCGCGCGCGCGCACACACACACACACCCTACAAGAGAGGCACCACGACGATAATAATCCGATTGACCCAGATCGAGGACGAGGTTTCCCGGTATCGCTTTCTGCGAAAATCTCGATCGCGTCGGCGGCGTGAGCGTTCGGTAGGTATCGGTTGGTTATTACGCGCGCCATATCGCTTTCTATTTGTCGACGCGCAAGCTTTTCTGGTTGAAATTCCTCCATCGAAGGGCTATATCGCTCCGAGGCGTTTCCCTTTGTAGGACAGAACGTGTATGTGTGTGTGTGCGTGTGTGTGTGTGCAGGGCGCGCACGCGTGGCGTTGAATAATTAACTCTCCGGCTCGCCGCCGTCGGTTTTATCGTAATTATCGCGTTCCCGCCAGGCAGCGACCGAGATCGTAGATCGAGATGATCGACGAACGCGCGTGGACAAAGTCGCGGCAGGCGAACGAAGAATAAATACACGTTACCCGACGTCGTGTTTGCTATGAAAATCAACCGCGTGCGAGTGTCGAAGCGAAAGGTTATTTCGTTCGCATTGCGTGCGTTTCTTTCGGACGTAACAATGAAACGCAACGCACGGAATTTCACATGAACTTCGCCTCGGATAAAGAAAAAAACGGAAAGTTCAAAACTAATAATTTCTGTGTATTTTTACTCATTTTTTTTCGTAACGATCAGAGAAGTCAGTGAAGAAGCGACGGTCGATTTTTATCGTCGCGCTCGCCCTCCTCGGGGGAAAAAGACGAAAACCTCGAAAATAAATACGCATCGGTGAATCCTCGATATACGAGCGGACGCGATACGTCTTTCGCGTCCGCTCTCATCATCGCGCATTTGTTTTATGGCATTTTGCCAATAAGCGTAAGATGGATCCCGCCTCGAACCGTGCCGCGGATTCGGCTCATCGAGTTACACATTATTCAAGAAAACGCGCAGCCTTAAATAATCCCGGACAGCGAATAATTTCTCGAGCGAGCGAGTGTTCGCGACTCGCGCGCGAGCCGTCGCGCGAGAAAGCGATTCGTCTTCGCCTGGAACTTCCATTTAATTTACATCCTTTTCTGCGCCTGAAAGAAATTCGGCAATAAACAAAAAAAAAACAACAACAACAACAAAGAGAGAGAAAAAAGTGTCTCCTTCATATTTCGCTAAAATATTGTAAATATTGTTGATGTTATCGCGTACGGTTTTTTAGTACACAAGCGCGTCGGTTTTATCGACGCGCGTTATGCGTGTTCGAGGTTTCCTCTTCCCGCGTTAGTCTCCCGTTTCCGCGTCGTAAATAATTTTCCGCGATGTCCGCCGAATTGTTCGCGCGCGCTCGTTACAGAGGATAATAGAGAAGAAAAAAAGAGAGAGAGAGAGAGAGAGAGAGAGAGAGAAAAAAGGAAGATCCGCCGTTTCTCTCGTCGTAGGAAGACGCGCTCGACGCTTGAATCCGCGACTCTCGTTCGATCCGTCCCAAGACGATTCGTCTTTTACCTCGACCTTCCACCTTCGTGCGCTTTTTCGCCGCGAAGTTTTCTC